TATTCTCCCAAATCTGGGAACTCTGCCTTGTTTGCATCTTGTAAGATATACCACGGGGAGGAGATTTTTGTTGCTAAGAAAGGGTGAAATCTTCCATTATGAGGTGGATGGCTGGCCAAGTGTCCAGATATTGACATATATGTCTGTATAAAGATCAGGTTTTCAATACAAATCTCATTCAATACAAATATTATGACTATTTTTTGTCAATTTCTCCTGTCTGGTGGTGTTCAGGGTAGACCAATGTTCATCTGGGAACAAAAGACTAACAGAAAGAAATGATTAGGCAAGCAGGGGTAAATAGAAACAGAAATCTCCTACATACTCTTGCTCTGGTGGAGTGTTTATTGATGGGATGACTGGCCATAGTAAAAAGCTATGAATTTCAAGAGAGGAAATTCTTTTTTGTTGTTGTTTGTGGAACGTCTAACAAAGCTGGGATGAAGGAGAGTGAGGGAAAAACGGAGCTGAAGAGAAGCTGTTGCCTAGCAGGGAGAGCATTTGAGTTCTGAAGTGGGATCTTGGAAGAGTCTCATTAAGGTAGCAATCATAATCAGGGCAATGGTTTCTAGGAATCAATCCTGAGACTGTAAGGAAGTGGACAAGATCACCTCTGTTTCCTACAAAGTCTTGCTCTTTGCTCAGATCCCTGTTCCTCAGGTTTAAATCTTTCAGTTATTTCTTGAGAAAGGCAGGTTTCTCTTTCATATCTTTCCTGCTCTTTGAACTGGGAAATAGGGCTAACTAACTGTTGTGCATCAATTACATGAATCGTGTTTTGTACTTTGTAAAAATTCATAAAATTTTCAACCAGCTCTCTTGTATAGTATTTTTAGACAAAATGGATTTCTGGCATCACCGCCTCCTATCTCTTTGTTAGATGCAAAATCTTCTAGGAAGCTCTTTTCTCTAAGATCCAGAGATTGAGCAACTGACATTTTATTTTGAGCTTCTCAGTTATGATCATTCAGAAAATTTTCATGGACCATATGCAAAAATGTCCTTAAAAGGCTGGATAAATGTATTTACTGCAGTTCAACAAATTAGTTTTCTTGTACCCATCCTGCAAGTACAATGGTTCGTGGTGCTCATTTTGCTATTCAAGAAAGCCAATTTTTCCATTAAAAGCATTTATAATTGTTTTCCCTCCATTGTCCTAGCCATGCTACAGTCATGTCAGGTAACAACCTTTAAAATGTGTCTAGAAAAGCCTGCAGCTGTTCCCTCCTTGCTCTCTCTCTCTATTGAGTTATATTTAAGGCAGTGTCTCTGAAAACAGGCAGTAATAAAAGGGATATTATCCTCAGCAAATATCTTAATCATGGTAAATCTCTGTTGCCCTACAAATGACTGCACGGGGGATTACAGCTGAGTAAGCCATTTGCTGAATATCACTGCCACCTTTCCTAGGCCATTTAAGCATGTTTAATTTTTCAGGGTGAAACATGAAACCCACTAATACAAATGTTTGCATTTGGACTGAATTATATCCAGACTGTAACAGTTAGAGCAGTCTTAGGACCAGATTGTGACTGATCTGTAGGAGGCCAGTTCTTCTTGGGAGAATAAGAGAGAAAAATGCAGATTCATTCCCAGTTCCAGCTCACTTATGTCACTTACGCTGCCTTGGTCCTCTTCAATATTTATATAAGGGTATTACGGGTTGAAGTACCAGTAAATATATGGATGATGCTTAGCTCCATATTTTCTTTACATCAGTCATAGTCCTTACCATTGCCCAATGCCTGGAAGCCATCAGTGCCTGGATGAAAGACAGCTGGCTTTAGTTCATCCTGGCTAAGATTGAGGTGGCAGTGCTATAAAGCAGAAAATACTTTCAGGGACTTGTGTCCTCTGTAACATCACTTTCCATATGTTTGTTTATCCAGATTTCTATCAAGTTGCCCGGAAACATTGAGAGCATCTGTTCTCCAGTGATCCAGTGGGAATCTGAAATAGTACTGCATACTTTATCATTTCTTTGTTGTTGTTTGTCTTTTCTTTCTCTCTCTCTCTCTTTTTTTTTTTTTTTTAAATCATGTCTTTTATCTGTTAGCAGCCCAGGGCATTGCAGCCCTAATCAGTCTGGACTTGGCCAGAACAGTCGACATATTCACAACCTTGAGGACCGACAGCAACAAAAGATATTTCCTAGAGTGGAATTAGGTGACCAGAAGGAGGTGGCACCATTTCCAGATGGTGCCACTCCACCATATGCCGGGAGCCCATCACCTCTAGACTGCACTGGTTCCCCAGGAGTGCGATTCACTATCCCAGTATCCAGTTCACTATCCCAGTATAATATTTCAAGCCATCTGCCTGACAGCTTCCTGGGGCAGCTCCAAGGATGAGAACTGCAAATGGTAGAGGTAGAGATTTGTTGTCTATTATCTCATGTCTACAAGACCAGCTTTTGGTAGTACAAGTACAAGTAACCATGAATCACAGAGTTTTCTGAGTAAAATGCAACACTCACGGGGTTTCGGTCACAGTAAAATTCCCAGATGCTAAACTCTCACTTGAAGAGTTAACAGAATTATATAAAATATTCCAAGGACCTTACATGCGTCCACAGAGCATGTGGATAAGCAATCCGTTTTATTTGTTAATTGGAAGAAGTAGCTAATAATAAACCAAAATGGAACAGGAAATTCAGTTAGTGCCTTGTAAGACATAAGATCTTCACAGAGGGCTCTGGCAACTTGCTCACTTCAAAACTGATCTTTTTCTAAAATTAATCAGCTATTTCATATTTCAACCACTTTAATTTGTCATAAATATGCTCTCTTCCCATGCTACAAGTTTAACATTAAGCTCTGTATAGCTTGTTCTATTTCACTTTCATGCTCTGAATCCATATTTTTTTCTAAGCAACAAGGGTCTATTTTTTCCATTTTGACCATCTATCCTTATTTGTATTTTTTGTAGTCCTTGCTGTTCCTGTGATTAATAAACATAACTTTGATTAAGTGATAGTGTTTATGCTTGAATAGGTTCTATTATACACTGTTAGGTTTTCCACTGTATACCTTGGGTAAAACTTTGATCCTACTTCCCTCCCAGAAGGAAAAAAAAATCATTTTTGAAGAAAATACCTGCACATAAAATTGATACGTAGAGTGGCTGATTGATTCTTTACAGTTCTACAAGGTTCCTCTCTCCCTAGGTACTTTAATGGTAAAAAGAACTTTATTCCTGCTTCTTGTCACTGTTTTACATGCTCAAATGGTCATGGATGTGTTATTGTAGATGTTCCTCAAGGTTATGTGATCTTCAAACAGCTTCTTCCATGAATGAGTTAGGTCTTAACTCTGTATTCATCTATTAGGAATTAATGAGAAACCTTTATCTCAAAATCAATGTTTTGTAGAGTGAAAAATTGTACCTTCCTTGGGAAAAAAAATCCTGGGACCCAAGGATTTTTGAAAAAGGCTAAAGAGGGAGAAGGGAGAAGGAACCTAAAGTCTTCTGTGATTTTACTTTGGTGGAAAATTTCCAACCAGGAAGAAATGACTCTTGAGCCTATAGTTAAAGTACAGTCAAAAATGTCAGATTATGTGCTAGCTGCTGTGATATAAAGATTTAAGTATTAAATATCAAGTACTTAGTGTTTACTGATATTGAGGGGTTTGATACATACGGACTTTGCAGAAGTCCTCATATTTTATATATTGGTGATAGCAGACATAGGGCACCAATGACATGGAGAGACAAATGTCATGTCTGTGCTAGTAGGTTATGCGGGGCCAGGGACATCCCCAGGCACTGTCTGATGATTATCCAGTCATTAGAATGGTTTGTTAGTTTGACTTGGGACACCTACCAGTATTTGGACTGTTTAAACGTGGACTGACCATGTTTGGGAGGTTACCTTTGATGGGGGATCTACTCCCCTTAAGCGTAGATACAGCAGCTAGCAGAGGGGGAGAAGGGAAGGGTTTGCTGTGTGAATGCAAGTCAAGCTATGCCAATTGCCCTTGAGGCTAGAGAACAGTCTTTGACCTGTTGTAGCTACATCTTTAGCAGTAACCAACATGATCCAATGGAATGTTGCTCTGCAGAGCCTGGGGATGTTGAGGTTATATCCCTGGCACTGCTCTGTGTTGGCTGGGCTGACTGTAAACAAGTCAGTTAAGTTATCTTGGTCTCTTTCATGCACATATTTAGTCAACTGGCTATTTAGATTCAGCTGTGCCAAATGGAGTTTATCTTCTGTGGTGTGTTGGTAGACATAACTGGAGAGGACCTGTTCTAAGCTGGAACCTCTAGGGGTTCCCATAATACAAACAATAATAGTGAAGAGAAGGAATGACATGTGATTGCTTGTGAAATAATTGTCTAGTTTCTTTGACAGATGTGAACTGAGAGACTGTTCCGTTTGCATCAGACACACAAAATCATGACTATATCTATTTCGTATTCTTCTCCATTGCACTTGAGAGCAGTTTTGCAACTATATGTGTAACAGATTAAAAATCAACAAAATTAGCAGAGCTCCTATTGGATCTGTCAAGGGAGATCTCCTTGTGAAAAAAAAAAAGAGCATAATTTTGTTCACTTTTCAACTCTTGTGAAATAAGATAAACACTTAGCACATGAAGAGCTGATCTGTGTAGGTGGAACATGCCTAAAGATGGGCCTTAACCTTCATGTGTCACAAACTTTCTAAAGTAACCATGGAAAATCACTCAATTGCCATGATTTACTTGTAGGCAAAATGAAATTATTGACTATTTACTGGATCTCATGTGTGCATGATCAAAAGAAAGCAATCATTAAAATGTGCTGATAGTGCTATAAAAGTAAATGTGTAATGGAAATGATCACTGCTCTTCTAGCAAATGCAGATTCTGCTGGCAGCTGATGTGCATATCTGGGCACATGCCAAGAATTACTGCTGCCTCTGACAAGCTCACACCACGGGGTGGTCATAAGGCTCCTTTCACGCTGGGGACCCGCCTCTGGATCAGCTGAATAATTAAGTGTTTGTTTCCTTCCAGATGAGTACAAGAGTAAAGCAGCCTGTGAAGATGACAAGCTGAGGCTCAGCTGTAAGAAGAGCATGGTGATAGCTATTTACTCTGCTGTCTTTGGAAGGACACAAGGAGGCAGCCTGGAGTGTCCGTACCAAAGCCTAGGGATGCCCATGATTGGTAAGCAGGGGGATGTCTTGACAGAGCACACTGATTTACATGGGGTAATTTCATTTTTTGTCATCATGGCACAAATCATGGCTAGGGAAAGCAGAACTTGGCACATGTAACCTACTGCTGTTATGCAGCTAATGTGTGGCACCTTGTTACCCAATAGTGCTCTCTATCACGAGCTCTGAACTCCCAAGGTTCACGTACACACCCTAGCCCGGTTACTGAGCCACATAATTTTGGCAGATTCATCAGACTAAATGCTTGAGACTACTGCTTGAGTTTCTTGATAATTTTCCTTCCTCCTGGTATTTCATCCCTACCTAATGGAAGAGTGTATTATCAGTAGGTGTTATGGACCACTTTTGGTAAAGTAAAGCAAGAGATTGTATTTAAATTTTAATAAAAGTTAAAACAATGAGCAAAAATTCTCAAAACAAGCTATTAAGTTGCGTCATGTTGACTTACAGTATTTCAAGTTGCTCCTTTTTTTCTAGGCTATCACAGTCTCATATGTTCATGTCTTAAACATCCATAAATTTTAAAACATTGCTACAACTGTCTGTTCTCAAGCCAAAAACAAATGAGTTTGAGTATTTTGAACTGTGTCAGATGTCCACAGTGCAAAATCCTGTGGTCAGCATTCCTCAGTCTCTGCAGAGGTGAGAGTGGATGGAGCGGTTTACCCAAAGGAATCCCTTCTAAAGGGAGGAAGTTTCCAGATGGCTGTACAGGGAATCTCGGTATCTATTCAGCTGTATCTGGAGATGTTTGCCTTCACAGCTGCTGATCCGACACCCTTACGGAATTAGCATGCTGTTCAGATGGCGACATGTGAAGTGACTGCTTGGAAATACGATATACATATGATGGGTGTGAGTAGGAAACCACAGGTGGAATCAGGCCAGCCAGGTTGCTTGTGCAGCATGGTGAGTGCCTGAGTTGTGTTGCTGCAAGAATCTGTGCGCTTGCAGCATAGCCGAGTAGTTCAGCCTCCTACCCAGTCTCATGGTTCCGATGTATGGCAGGAGAGTCACAGTCCCTTAAAGTGTTCTCCCTTGTCTTCTGCGGTGAGTCATCTATCCCTGGATGTGCTGCAGGTCGTTTCAGCTGCCAGAGAACAGATGTTAAAGCAGCTATGCTTGACAAGTTGGCTTAGGCCTTTTTTATGTGACATATGGGATGGGCTGAGAGTGTGGACACTGGTGGCTATAGTGGTTTAACTACCAGTTGGTGACTTTGACTACAAGGTGTTAACTTGCTGAGCTGGTGAAACTTGATGGGCTGACAGCATATTCCCAAGCAGCGAGCTTTTCTGTCCTTGGTGAGAGTGCAGGAAAAGGAATTTACAAGTGACAAAATACTGGTGTTGGGGTGTGCTTTCTGAGTACACACATGAAGCAAAACTCTTCAATTTGAATGAAAGCTGCAAAGGGTAAAATTTTGCTCTTACTGAGGAGCAAAGTCTTGAACCTTAGGCCAGCTGAGAGCCAGATATGTGGCACTAGGGAAGGGAGGCAGTGGAATTGCAAGAGCAGAGAGAACAAGCTGTGAGGTATGACAGCAAGGCTGAAGTGCTTGGATTTCTGAGTGCTTCAAACTGGCCTTGTGAGCTCTATAAATTGGGATGTTTGCCCAAGGAAATAAGGAGTCTGATGGTAGAGTGTGGCAAACACACTGCTGGAAGGAGGCAGGGCCTTCCTTCGAGGCCAGCTCTTAGCCACTAGTCACAAGAGCAGGTTCAATACAGAAGAGAATAAGGCCAAGCTAACAGTGGGAATGTCTAGGTAGCTTTACACTGACATCCAGTGTAGAGTTTTAGGCTGTGGACTAAGGCTAAAAGAAATTGAGTTGTTGGACATCTGTTTTGTGTGAGATGACGTGATGGTACAGTGCCCTTAAGATGCAGTTAGGAGAGGTGGGTTGGTAGCTGTGGTATCACTTCTATATTGGCTCTGAAAAAGAGGAACTAGTACAGATGCCATCTGCAACACAAATCAGAGAAAAAGCATAGCTTTACTGTGCTGAGGTGGGGGGGTTGTACTCCATATTGCTACTAGGAATTGTGGGAGGGGAGCACAGAGTTCCCTGAACCTTCTTCAGATAACGTATTTCTGCTGTGGACCTGCTTAGTTCAGGAGGAAACTGTGTTCCTTCAGGAGTGGGTGAAAACATCATGGCTTGAAAATCCAAACTTTCTCTAGCTAGAGAACGTTTCTCTGCAGGTTTCCACTGCCCTGCAGTATGCAGAGGGCCATTATGTGGCAGCCTTTGATCCTGAACATTAGCAACGAGCTGATCTAGCACATCTAACTGTATGACTGTGGCTCCATGGCAGCATCCAGTTCCCATAAGGCAGAATCCAACTCCTTTCTGCACTGGAGGATTTATTCTGTTTGAACTTTGTGGGTCCGATGATTTGTATCAAGTCTAAGCCTTGGCAAGAGACCTTTTGGTGGGAAGCAGACCCTGGACAAGTTTGCAGTGATTATTTGTATTTGATCAGCATGAGATACTGCTGAGTGAAGAATTCCTCACAGTTATTCCCAAAGATGTGTATCTGTCCTTCCTCTCAAAATGAAGTTCATAAAATTTTATTCTATTCTTTTTCGAACAAAATGCACATTTATGTTGCATTTAGAAACCTGCAGCTTCTACATGTGAGGCTTTAATTGAACTGAGGCATGAGAAGGGGAGGAGGAACAGCACAGTAGACCATTGCATTCATTTCCAAATCTGCCACAAAATGAGTGGACAAATCATTTACTGTGTGTTGTTTCTGTTTTGTAACATTTGCAGCCCTTTAACACCCACATAAGCTTGTGAATAATGTAGGATCCCTAAGTAAGACTTCCTACACCACGCCTTGCCAAATGTATATTTTCTCCCTAATGTCTTAGCTTAATGTGCTTAGCTTCTGAGAAGGAAAAGTTGTTGGAAGAACTGCATCTTATCCCTGTTATATTAAGAGAAGAAAAATCTGCTAGGATTCCTTTTTAACCAGAAACATGCTGAAACTTGTGTTTCTGACCGTAATGGGAAACCCCTGCAAACAGCTGGACCCTCCTTGAATGCCCTGGAAACTCTGAAAAGCTCCTATAGGAATTTGACCTTATTTGTAACTCTCTTAATAAAGCTTCCACTTGGCTGCTAGCATGGGCAGAGACAATGCACAGAGCTTAGGGAGGTCTCTGGGGA